TGCTGGATTTATGCACCAATTTACCAGCTCGCGCGTGCAATCCGCAGCTACCTATCCCCCAAATCATCGGTGAGCGAAGCTGCTGCAGCTACAACCAGTGTACGACGAGTACGTGGTTCTTACAGCTGACAATGATGATGATGACCACGAACAAACTAATATTTCCAGCTCAACACTGAGTTATACCAAACCGTTCCTACGTGACTAACATGTTCTTATTCACAGACAGCCTAACCCAGGAAGAGGGACTCATATCGGATGCCATAGTTTTCGACTCCTAAAAAGTCTTCAATATGGTCCCCCACGTCCCGCTGCTCGACAAACTCGATTTTCACGGGATTTATGGGAAACTCCTAATCTGGATCAGAGCGTTCCTATCACACATATCATTCTGACTAAGAATGAACTCGGTTTACTCTTCTCCAGCGCCCGTCTAGATTGGAGTTCATCAGGGCTCCGTTCCGGAACCACAGTTGTTTCTAATTTGCAACAACGACCTTCCGGATGTTTTTGCAAGTCGGTGTCTATTTTTTGCGGACAACTTGAAATCGTGAGGTCCCAACTTCAGTGCCCTCTAGATGAATGTAGACGCTGCAAAGCAGTAGTCATTGAACTGGCACCTTAACCTGAATGACGAAAAGTGTCATTTGGCGGAGATTCAGCGAATGCCTTTGTCATGCATGGTGAGAAAGAACTAGAAAACGTCATGAGGATAGACGTCAAAAGGGATTTGGAAATCCGGGTCTCCTCCAACTTGTTCCTCTCACTGTGCGTTTCAGGTGAACGACAGTCACTGATCGGCAAGAGGAAAGCAGACTCGGGAAACTTGGGCATCAATCCATGAATCCGTAAGCTCATGGTCGAGTTCAAGGTCAAGAGTCGTTGCTAGCGCCATGTACGAAGTCATCTGACGAGTCCGTCTTTATTGAACGGTGTGCAGAGTAGCTCCCCCGGAAAATTAGCCTAATTTCTAAGAATCACTGGGAATCGCTTTTTAATTAGCACTCTTTTTTCCGAATAAAACCGTCGTCTCGCCTTATGAGGCGGACTTCAATGCTATTACCACGACCTCGGAAACAATTTATCGTTAGTTCGTCACATACAAATTAGACCTGCGCGATAAATACCTCATTTTCGACTTATGGTTATACATAGTCGCTGAATGGCGCTTTAGGTATCACTGTGTTATGCCAACAACACTCCCATCACATGCATGTAGAGACCATGTAAGTCGCCGGGGATTATATTTAAAAAGGCGTTACACCTGACGCAAAGACGGAGAGCGGTTGAAATAAACACTTAAAAATGCTGTTGCAGTGAATATAAACCAAATTAAGGTTCTGCTTATTATATAAACCCTACAGAGCCTTTCATGAACTCCTCATAGGTGACAAAAATGAAGAATCGAAAAGTTGTGGTAATAGTGATATTCATCGGGTTTCCTAATGGATTCGGACAGTGAGGCAGCGTCAGGCGCAGTAATATGCATGGGTCGCAAAATTTGAAATCCAACAGCATGGCATTATATGGTGTGCCATTATTACTGAATTCACCAAATTGTTCTTCATCATCTCGATTGCGTCCGTCAAGGACGAAAAATGTTGCTGAAGTAAGAACTAAGGTTTGACATGAACTAGTTGCGTCAAGGCATTTGGAGCAGATATACAGCATCATAGAGTCGAAGAGAGTTTGGATTTTGTTGTTCTTAATAACATAGTGGCAAATAAATATGTTTGGTGGCAAATTTGGCTCGTGTTGGTACTGTCCAAGGCGGTCTGACGGTACCTGCCACCAGCCAGAGTAGAGCAAGGGAGGAGGAGCAAGTGAAATTCAAGTGTGAAATTCATCAAAGCTTAGTACAGCGACTGTGAGCAGACTTCGGCTATTTTCCACCGGCTAACGCATTCGCCAAGATTAGCATCCAATTTTGTGTGCGCTGAAAAGATGAGCGAATTTCTAAAACCTTGCAGTGGGTGGCGGCATACTTTCCACACCTGGCAAGCGCCTTCTTCATAGAGTACGCAGAGTGCTGACAAATAAGAGGGGAAGGTCTGCTGACGGCAATGCGTACGGGCTCATATCAACACTGAGATGATTCATACGCCTTACAGTTCATATCACTGTTGATTTGCTTTCTTGTTCTAGTCTGATAACGTTAGACCAAGAACACTCCTAAAATATTGTGCAGGGCCTCAAGGCTTATGATCAGCTGATTCAACCACTCCGGTAGTCCGACATTTCATTCATAGGGTTTGTTAGGAAAGCATCGTGTAACTCATTCTGTAGGCCAGTCAGAGGTTTGTGGCATGGCCATTGTCAGATAACCTTGCACTCTGGATATGGATACCCGTATAGGTTTTTGTCAAGTTGGTATGAAGTTTCTTCCGTGTTTTTCATCTCATTAAGTGGTCAGTATATAGCCATTCAGGGCAGAGAAAGGCTGGATAAAGTAGTAACTCTTAGTCTATCACTCTGTCTTTGGAACGCTCGACGGAGTATCAATCCAAAGGGGAATTTTCACCCTATTATACTGTTTCTTAACTTGCATCTGATTATGGATAAACCCAAATTTGAGGCTCATTCCATTTCATACTCCACGGAATTAGAAAACTGCGAGCTCTTTTCTTACCCAGGATGTCACCACTACAAGCCACTGACGTCCAACTTTGCCTACGGATCGTGTTTATATTGCTGTGCTAAGGTGAGATTGCGACTGAGTTTGATGTAGCAATTAATAGTAGATTAATAAACAAACCGAAAAGTTAATTAAGTTGTGCCCTTTCTGAAGGAAAGCAAATACGGTGAGATTTTTGCTAGCACAAGATAATTTACGTTCCCATTCACAATAAATCTTTCAGGTAAATCATGGTTGTACGACAGCAAAGTATCTGTGTTGAAAACTGAAGTCATGCTGTCGATGATGAACAGATGAACTTGTATTGGCTGAGGTTGCTGCTGTTCGAGCCATGAACTGTCAACAGAGACCTCTCTAGAAATAAGTGGATTCAACAAATTGTAATCCTGTGATCAGTGTTTGCTTGCACGATGCTTAGCGAACTGGCTGAGTAAATCTAAAAGACCGGTGCCTTTATCTTATGCTAAGCTAAGTTTGTGTAGATATACGGCATCCTAAACGGGCGCAACTGTTGTGGAAGGTTACTCTCACGAAGAACTCCATCTTAAATAATGACGTCGAAATTTTAACATCCACTCCGTCCTTGTGCAGCAAAGTCAATAGAAGTCAGTTCAAAAGCGGAATATGCTGAAACATACCTGGGTTTGCTCAGTAGTGAAAACAGCCAGGAATGCTGATCGTTCATAGGTTCAAAAACCAATCCAACTAGCTCTTCCACAAAAGTAAGCCAAAACTCCATATGGAGACCGTTAAATTGACGCCAGGTCCTGGCGGAACATAAAAGCGTTAGCTTGTGGACCAAATACCGCTGCATAAATGTGACACCTAAGCCGTCTTGCAGCCTGCAACTTTTCGATAAAACGAATGAAGCCATCTTAACATAAAAATACTCTTCTTTTTTGGCTTACAAATCGCCGACAACACCTTGAACATCATTAAGATACTCTCTTTAATCCTTATCTTCCATATCAAACCCAAGCGAAAAAGTTTATATATTGAGGACAGCCAATAAGAAGCCAAAATAACTGGGCTGAAAAGAAACCAAGATTGGTTTACCTTCGGAATATGACAAAAAGTTACATCACAGGACTGCTTCACCGCGGATTCACCAGTGAAGCATTCTAGCCTACCATCGGTATTGGACTTCATTCAAATCTGCGTGTAACACCACAAACGCAGATGTAGCAAATGGAAAGAAGATTAGTGAATAGGTTTTATGGGACACATTCAACTGATTCAGTATGGACCTGCATTTACAGTCAGCTTTTCAGATTACGCCATCTTCTTTTTATTGCAGCCACAATCTTTGCGATATCAGTATATTGGGAATTCGGCGTTTTTCAGACGTCTAAATTGAGTGCCTGGATATTATGTCTGGGAAACCCCCGGTTGCTCATCTGACGGAAGAAACTATTGTGGAATACAGAGATGCATTTGATTCGTTTGATTATAGCAAGGCTGGCAAACTGAGTCCGCTCGACATTCCTATTTTGATGCGAAAACTCGGTCTGATGCCATCCAACCTGGAAGTTGAGGTATGTGTTACCACTCATCAACAGTATTGTTGTGCGATGATAAACGTCTAACAGGAAAATTAACACACCTCATATGGCTCAAATGTAACCATTTAACAACCGTCGCTGGTTGAAGCAGTGCAGTTTACTGACAGGGTGGAGAACTCTCACAGGGATATACTGAAAGTCTTACGACCAGGAACCTCTATATATTCTCGATAATTCTAACCTTTCAGAATGAATAATTCTTGAAGATAAGAAATGTTCTGTTTGATGACGGATTGTTCATCTATAATATTTATTTTTCGCCTGTTAGACCTTATCCAGATCGGTCCAATGGTTTGGTTGCAGCCCCACCGACCGTATTGGATATTCGTTTGTTGCTCGCCTCTGGGAAAGGAAGTGTCTAATCACACAGCACATAATCCAACACAAGGCGATTGAATTTTAATGACAGTAGACATCATAATAAAGAGCTTAAGCCTTTCGACGTGTAACGGTTTGTGCACCTCCACTGTCCACTGAGCTATACTAGATATTGTTCGGTCACGGTGTCTCTAGTACCAAGTTTGCCAGGGTGTGGGGGTCACATTAACATAGTTCCTCAATGTTGAGGAGTACAATATTTGTGTCGAAGTGTTTTTCAAAAGTCACCCCCCACTTCTAACTTACAGTGGGATTTTAAGCCAAATCTTTTGGCTGCGGGTCCTGATCCTTCTCCTGCCTAGGTTTTGGCATCATGGCGGGACCTCAGGCTACATACGACAGTAAATCACAGGAATACCAACATCCATGGTAGTTAAGCGCCATTGCGTTGCTGTCCATGATTGCAGTCAACAGGACTTTTAAATGTTAACCCAAAATCATCGTTCCTACAATATCACAGTCAGAGCACTCCAGAACTAAAACAACGTTTTGCCCCACTCATTACAGGTGTTGAGCGCACGGGCATTAGAACGAGCAGTTCAGCAAAAGTGAACCGGCGGAAAAGGCAGGCTGATATTTTATCGAATAGTAGGAACTGTAACTTACACCAGAAACTAACTGATCCTGCTCTGCGACATGGAAAATATGATAACTGACTTCAGAATTCATTCTGAGGGGGATATTGTTTAAACTTCGTGCATTATATGTGTATGATGCATAGCTCCACGTCTATACTGGTAAACTTCCATTGAGACCGGGATATCAGCCTGATGTTTCTATGAAGTAAGGAGTTATTCCGTGAGATCTTTGGCAAAAATGCCCAATAATGACAGTACATATTTCTCAACCTTCGGTCATTTACGGTATGATACAACTGGCTGTTTCATGTTGAGGTTGCATTTGGCAGTTATACATGTCCGCAGAGATAATTACAAGCCTGACTGCGCCTTGAGGGATGATGAACTGCCAGTGCTGTCAAATCCTGCAAAATTTACCGTTTTAAATGGATCAGATCAGATTAACTTCCAGACAACAGTTTGACAGCAGATGTCTTCAGTTAAGACGGGTCCGCTCAAAACTTGCACTTACCTATGGTTTGGGCATTCAGTAGAGGATGACACGTTGTTACATAAATTGACATCCTAATTTGCTTCAACTACATGAAATTGTCACAAAACTAAGGTAGTTCCCTTATAGTCTCGCGTGGGGCATCCGACTAATCTATCTGCTTTTCTTGAGTGTTAGATTAATGCTCAACAGCCAGAAATATACCAGGAAAACTAACTTTTTAAATGAGGGTATGCTACTCAATATTTACGGCTGAACTCACGCCTGTCAAGTGGAAGTCATGCTAGTTGAAGTGAAATCTAGTAGTATTGCATCGTTCTCGAGCAAAAGCGAACAGACTGGCAGATTTTTTGGTGTTCCTGTTGTTGAACTATAGGAGGACGCATTTGACCTCGGCTGCATGATTTTTATCGGCAGGCTGCAATCTCATACTGGAAAAGCTATAATGATGCCAGTCTGATTGAAGTATCACACTGGACTTGTGGGGCACTGACCAAACTTCAGATGGAAGAAGTATTACATTGTTTTCACGCCCCGCGCTGAGTGTTAACTTGTCCGAATACTGCTAACTTTGACGAGTATGTGCGTTTACAGAATAGTGATGACAAGAACATGATAGTTACTAATATGAAAACATCGGAATACATCAAACTCGATAGAAGAAATGGGCGCGTCATAAAACCTGCAAGAGATACACTGGATAGCGCAAAATGGGCAGCCTAATTCGGTGTTTACGAGGGATTCAGATAAAATCCAACCCAGCCTCCCACAACATTATGCAACCACATGTGTGCCATGTAGGTCGCCTCCGGAGAGTGGAGTATTTCGCACCCGAGATAGGCAACTCATGAGGTCAATGACGACAACAGATAGCTCATTACAAATTTCGCCTTGAGCGTAACTCACACGGTGGGTCAGGCCCACAAATTTACAACAGTTATACTTGAACACTAGATTGTACATGTGTGGGAATGAGCACTAAGTCCCTACCGCGTCCACTTTTATTCTTCTCTGCATAATAAGGATTTCGAATAAATCATGGTTGTACGACAGCGAAGTATCAGTGTCCACTACTGTCGACGATGACGAGCACTATTGAATTTGCAGCTTCATGAAAACGGCAAAATCGTGTTAGTGTAGACACAGGGTGCTCAGTTACGATACTACTCCTAAACGATGCGAGGCTAGTTCTCCGAAGTTCATACAAAAATTTCGTGGATGGTAAACAAGCAATACGAATTACTAACGACTAACTATAAATTACGCGGTCGGGCGATGTGCCAAAAAGTTTCTACCGCTCATCAGCAACTCGATCAGCAACAAAATGGGTCTACTCCTGACCAGTTTTCCTCACCCCACGCAAAAATATTTCTGATTAGAAACACAAGGCAATTAGTCACCGTGGTACACATGGAAAACCGATTGTAACCCGCCAAATCAGAATCTACTAACAGGTCAGAAACAGTGGAATTTCCGGATTTATTTCCAGTGTCTTGCTGGCACACATTTCTGTCAAACTACTGGACAACAGAGGTTTTCCGTCAGCTCAAAGATTTCCCATATTCTAGTGTGAATTGTGCACTGAATGCTCATCTTCAACTGCACTGCGAACTCTTCAAGATGTTAAAGCAATCTGTAGAAGCATTGGTAATCTCCGATTGATAGGGAAAGCTCAGATTGCTAATCAGCGATATGCAATTTATTCAACAAGCAGACCATTGATAGACACTCAGTTACAAGCCGTTAATGAGTTTCTCAGAGTCTTCATCTACCTTATAAGTCCCGAATACAGTTTAGAATGAAGCTTGAGGCTGTCTGTATGCGGCAACTTCAGCGGGAAAATATTACACGAGAGTTAGGTGAAATTCAGCTGAGTCTTTCGGCAGCACTAAGTTAATTTCCAAGTGATTTTAGGACAACGAACGTATAGTTAGGAGAAAAGGGCTGACATAGTTTCCGGGGTCAAACGTACATGATGAACCTCAACAAGAACAGCGCGTTGTCTGGTTTTTATTGATCTCACGCGTACTTTTGAAACAAGCATCCCATTGTTCGATAGTTTTGCCTGCGTGAACAAATACTTAACTGAAGTCGACTGTACAAACAGAGATGCTTCCTTTATCCTTCAAAACGAAAACGAACTCAAAATGTTATTGCCATTGTACTTCCTTTAATGATTTGAGGTCAATCACAGAAAAAAGTCGGTTGATTAGAAACCACCATGCCAATGTCATGTACATTCCACTGTTTCATCTCTGTGGGTAGCTTCCAGCTAAGAGAAAAGTAGAATTTAACGAACGCTTCGTACGAAAAACATTAAAAAAGTTACCTCCCTAGAACAAAAAACGGTACAAAGACGGAGTTGCAATAACCGAATTCCCGGACGGTGGACACTCATCTGGGCGCTACATGTGGTCCGCATCACGTTAAATCGCCGCGTGATAGTACACGACCACGACCGTATCACTCATGAAAATTACGTGCAACAAATCACAGGCAAAATATTTATTCGTGCCCATTGGGGATCTCACCCAGCAGCGACCATTTCTGTGGCTGGAGGGGGCTATAGATAGTGGATTCCACGATTGACCCTACCAATACGCAGCCTCATTTGTTGATGACTTTTTTATAGGGCCAAGCTCGTGAGCATCAATCGTCCGCTGCAGCTGGCAACAAGCCCAACGGTTTTTCATATTAGTATTTCTACCCAGGGAAAACCAAGCTCTGAGACATGTCACCTGTCAGAAATTAGTATACAGCAATACTTGTTACCAAGATAATAGCATTTGGCATCACATGTCACGAGCTTAAAACTAGGTCTATGGATGGCGAGGTGGTTTAGTGATTGGAGAGCAAATTCACTGAACACAAGGTCCCTGGTTCAAGAGAGACCTCTCCTATTAAGACTTTGACAACCTGGCAGTATCTCATCCCTCTTGCTTCCTTCAGCCGGCATGGCACCGAACGATTACGATTTCTCTGGTTGTCTAAGTGTACTGAAAAGAAATAAGGTAGCCAAATATTCACAAATTGCTGTGATGAACACCATCATTTTGCCCCAGCTTGTGTTTAACTACCGCGGAGTCTTTATTTGAGAAGCCCTTTGCAAGGCAGCTAGTAGCATATCGGGTAGCAAAAAACGTACCTTACTGAAGGGAGTTAAGTTAATTCTTAGCATTATTGCGATTTGACAAACTGTTCATGATGGTTTTGTGGACTTATAGAACTCATTTGTAATCCGCTTGCTGCTCAGAGACGAAATCCGTTGGCCTGTGAACATACAGACGCCAACTGTGTGTCGCTTAAACGGGGCAAACACACAGCAAACAGCATAACCCGCTGAGTAACGAATGTAGGAAAAAGGCGATTTACATAATGCACTACGCCCCCAAGCTTGTCTTCCGTTTAGCGAAGTGGGTACCCTAGGATTAATAAGCTCCATTAGAAATGTGATCACTTTGAAAAATTGTGCGGCAACTTCGAACGCGTTGAATGATTCTCAAACCCAAGTGTGTGACCGGATGTTAAAGATGCACTGTCAATGCTGTACCCCCGACAATAATGCGTCACCCGGGAATGAGACCTTCGGCTTCAAAGCATTAACCAACGGCAACCTTCAATCAATTGTTGCATCAAGCTGGTTTGAACCTAGCAGACTGAGTTGTGAAAGTGTCAATTTGCTTTTAGCCAGGAAGGCTGCTCGTCCTAATACAATATGGCACCCATCATTTATGTAGAAACCTGGGGAAGACAAGTGTGGTTCTATTACGAAATAGTGCATTTTTGAAAACCCCCGTTAGATATATCAATACCAGAAGTATTACACCATTTATGTATTTCCAAATAGTTGTTGACAAAGGACAAGACTGCAATTTATCGTTGGATGACGTTCATGAGCCCTTTGAAAGGCGCGACAGATAACCCGTACAGCTTTCTTTGCCAGATTCCGGCCTATATACTTTCTGTTTGTAAATGAATAACCGCTGTTCACATTGCTTGACTGCACACAGTTCAGTGGAACGGTCTGCGTCATCCATCATGAAGCACTTTTCCTGCCCGGTCTCCTAACTGCACTGTGGCCTTTACTACCACTGTGTTCAATCAGGGGACACACGGAGCCATCAATGTTATAGCGTTCTGTACACCTATTCTCCCCATTTCCCGATCTTAACAAACCAGGGTTGTCCTTGAAATGCCGACGAGATTGCCGGAAGCCACAACAAGGATGGTGGTTACAGCATCCAAAATGTAAGGAAGCATTCAACCTAGTAATCCATTCTGTGACTGCCGCATGTAGCTAGTGAATTTCGCCACGCGGATTTGTAGTCAGGTTTCAGAGACTCAACAAATCGTACCTGTATGCGGTACTGTTTGCTGCGCTTGACGATAAACTATGACTGCTTGTGAATATATAAAGTGTGCGGACTAGAAACTCATCTGAGAATTGAGTCCTTGAAGGTCTTAATTTGGTTGGGAAATGTAGGTGTTAAAACCTACGCTAACCTGCGCACTCTGTATCTCATTATGTTTATCTAATTTGTGTTACAATTTCCCTTAACTAATTAAGAATCTTACATCACATTACCACTATCTAGATGTGCCATCAACCTTAACCCCAGTGGTGAGTGTGCCAGCTTTACCTAACATTCTCCAACAATGGATTTTTTTAAACACCAAATTTTGCCTCTGATTCCAGGAGATGATTGAAGAAATATACAAGGAGAAAGACACTGCTGCCGATGGAATCACTTTTGAACAATTCTGTTGCATCGCAGCTCGGAAATACAACGATATCTACAAAGAAGCCGACATAATAGAGGCTTTTCGTACATTCGACTTGGAAGAGCATGGCTACGTGTCATCTGCTGAACTGCGCAGAGTTTTGTGCGGGATGGGAGAGAAACTGACAGACGATGAATTTGAAGCGATGCTTTATCAAGCAAAAATGGATGAGGACGGAAACGTACACTACGAAACATTTGTGCGAAGAATGATGGAAGACATGTACCAAGACCGCTGAAACCAAAAGTCCCGAAAAAATCATATACACTTTTAAGGTTTACTTTCCGTTCACTCCAAGTGAGCGAATTCACCCCACATCAATATTTCACCAGGTATATTGTAACTCAATGAGGTTTCTAAATGAGTGCTCTCAGGAACAACAAAAAATCGTAGATAAAATGTTTTTTCACATTCCATAACAATCTTACTCGGAATTTGGACAGCCAAAAGAGAAGTAACATTCCCGAAAACCTACAAAGCAGGCTATTCCTAATACGACGATCCGTATGCAAAGCTTAATAATTCCGCCTAGGTATATTCGTAGGTTGATCAATGAGAGGGAAAGCCACCAGGTCGGAACAAGATAATCATTTAACACTCACTAGGAAAACGAGCTTAGCTTTTAATCCACTTGAGAGAACCAGCCAGCTGTGTCGAAAAATGCCAGTCTCATTTATTTTCAGCCACACAGTGACAGTACGGCTGTTCTAAGTAATCACAGAAGTAAGCAGTCTTATACCTTCATCTACAGGGCTTGAAAGACTACCCTCTGGAACTTGACTGGTATGTACGCTGGTTTATTGCAGTCACTGATGATTGGTCGAACTGCTACCTAGTAACATTAGATGGAGAGCTGTTCCTCAGAGCTACCCAAGGAGCAAGATACGTATCTCGCTTTCTAATAGCCTTTGGTTTTCACAATGTCTTGCAATATCGAGGTTATGCAGTAAGGGCTTAGACGTTTGAAGCGGATGACTGGCAACCTGGTATATATAGGCGAAGCTGAACGATAAACATGATCAACTCACGTGCCCACCCGTGGCTTCAGTCTCCAAGGCTACCTTGAGAGGAGGGTTTGATTCTAGTTTCCAACTGCTGTGCTCCAGAAAGCATGGATAGCTCGCCGAAGCCCGCGGTCATGTGCTTTACCTACCTTAATTCCACGGAAAAGGCCGATGCAGCGGCCGTCTGAGGACATCGCAACAGTCGGCAGTTGTGCACTGAACGCTGTTAAAATCACTCATTTTGCATGCTAGTGTCCGTTAGAACTTGCGGTCATCTCTTCAAGCTATGCCCCGAAGCACAGTTGTGCGTACATTTTTTTATCATCTAAAAAAGCATTCAGAAGTTCTCCTTCTGCTTGTCTCATTCAATGCAACTGAAGTCTGAGAACCCGTCACGAAGAGACTGGACCTTACCGTGGTGTGACGGTTTGCGCACCTCAGCGATCCATTGAGCTATACTGGAGAGTGTCC